GTAGGTCAAATCGCAACTAACCGTAAGCAGCCTGGTTTGCTTCCAAATTGGAATGAACAAATCACAAAGCCCAAAACGCTCTCATTAACCCTTCTATCAAGGTCATTGCTGAATTAAAAGAAGCCACTGTCGCTACTGAAACCACCGGTAGGTAGGCGGAGCTTGCGAGAGAGGTGTGTTCACTGAAGTCACTCGGGCTCCTGAGTACCTTCCGTCGATTCGTCGCGCGGCGAGAAGGCAGAGACGCAGAGGGGTCGGTGGACGAGTCGCAGCGCGCATTGTGCGATGTGGGACGTAATATGGTACATTCTATTTAACTTGACGAAATCGCTACAGTACGCGCTGCGACTCGTCCGCTGACTCGTCTGCGTCTTCGCTTCTCGCCGCGCGACGGGCTTTCTGTCGGGTACCCTGGGCTTCTATAAATCGCTACGGCTCAACTATCTGCCGAAAGAGGGCACCATCAACCTCCTCAGCAGGTATGGACCCATCTTGGTGCTATGTTAGTTGGGGGGACCACGCGGCGGCGCGGCGCTCTGTTCGTCTCCTCCTGCAAGGCTTAGTCCCCGATGGCGCGTATTTCGAAACTGCCACGTGATGGCGAAATAGTAACTGCCCCTGGGACTAAGCCTTTGGAGGAGCAGACGAACAGAGCGCCGCGCCGCCGCGTGGTCCCCCCAACTAAGATAGCACCCCCCATCTTTATACAAGTCGGAGAAGTTTAGTTCCTAGTGATTATATTCCTTTGAGATTCGCTGGTAGATAACTGTCAAAAAAGTTAACCTTGGTTTCTCATGGCTGACCACACCGGCAACGATTGAACCACAACTGATGCCCACTCTCACCTGAAAGCAGCTCAACCATTAGAAAAGTTGATTTCAAAGACTTCTAAAGGCGAAAAACGCCAAAAATGTTTTTGCACACCTGACTTTGGAAGATGTCAATTCGGAACGATCACATCTTTTTCGTCCAGCAAAATAATGATACCCAAAGCGAGATTGAGTATGTTTACAGCGTGGGAGGTGTTGACGTTGGGTGCACCGCTCACGATCAAATAACTGTCCAGTAATGACAGAACTTTGTTGCACTGGAATTTGAGTTTTTACTGAAAATAATTTTCCATAGATGAGAAATTTCTAGTGGTACTTCATATTTCTCGATGAGTACGTCGAATTGCTTGAAGAGCGTTGCGATGATATCCATGACCTGGAAAAGCAGTTTTGAGTTGAGATTGTGACTAAGCATCTTTAAGCCACCGCCGTTCGGGGAACTTTGTTTTTAAAACCTGAGATATGCATGAGCGCCAACTTCTGGCACGCAAGAGGCATCGTCAGAATCAGAGATGAGTTCTACAGATCGCCGTAGAGACCATGTTACTTGAAAATTCATCAACCTAACGCTGAATTCTGATCAGTAACGGCGGATGGTTGATTTCCAGAAGCAGGAAACACACTCACAGTTTTTGATAGGTGATTTGGTTTTATAGTAGACTCCAAATACTATCGATTCACCAGGAGTGCCAGAAAACTTCCATATTATCGTGGGGGAATGGAAGTTCATCAGTGAAGGGAGGAAGGCTTCATTCATTTATAGGCCACCTAGTGTAGAATAGTTTACTGTATCTTCTAGCCAGTTGGGCTACTGAACTCAGCGCGATATGGCTCCGGGGGGGGGGGGGCCAGTAACATTGCTTCGATGAACTGAACGATTTTTGGGGCACACCACTGACATCATGATAATATCCAGGGGTTTTTGGCCGTTCCTTTTTGATCGATTTTTGACATTCCCGAGGAAAACTTCAAAAAGACCTCCCCCCTCGCGACGGGCCTTTTGTAGTGGAAATGTGCGGAGTTGGAGTGGGCCTACTGGTCTTAGAAACATACTATGAAAGTAGCCACGGTGGTAAGGGTGGTGATTGGGTGACCACCCCCTTCAAGTGCGATAGTGAAGGGTGGTATTGAGAGCACTCTGGGAGAAGGGTCGTATCAAGGCCTTTCAAAGGGGACGGGGTCGTGAACTTTTTGCGATTCCCTACAAGGTGCTTTTGAGGGTTCCTCTTTCTGAGCGACAGCACAAGTGACGTGATATTTCTTCAAGAAGACAACTCTCTGCAACTCCTACTGAAAACGACTGGATCCGGTCCTTGTTGCTCAATAACAGGATTTCTCTCATTACCTGAGCAGGTTTACAGCTTCCGTTGATGGTGGAAAAATCAGGCACATCCGTGAACATGACCGTGCATTCGCTGTACTCCTCTGAAACATGGCTGATGTAGAAATATAACAAGCTTCTTCTTCAGGAGAAGAGGAACATTCGGCTTTTGAAGTTCAGACAATGGCACTGCGTCCGGTCCTCAAAATCAACAAATGATTGTTTTGTCAAGGCAAAAAACGTACGAGCAGGAATAGGCTTGCCAACGCGCAAGGATTCCGCGATCGCCGGCGGTACGAATTCATAGAGCAAGTGTTCCGTTCGTTCTTTTTTCTTCTCCAAATCTTCGGCCAAACGTTTTCAATTGGCGAACCGTTTCTTCCAGTCGTTTGCTGAAATACGGGGTAAAGAAGATGGTTTACTGTTTTCAGGGTAACCCCGCTTGCGAATGTTGCCAAGATGCCTTTGATACTGCTCGAAGTGCGACAATTGTGCTAAGGCTTACCAATGCCAAAGAATACCGGACGCGACTGGTAATTGTTCGGAGGCGGCCGCAACGGCGTCCCCGACAGGAAGCCCGTCGCGCGGCGAATTGGCAGTAATGCAGAAGGATGGCAGTAATATGGCGGACAAGTAGTAGCGCGTGCTCTATGTCGTGGGGCATACGGTATGGTGAATTGTGAGAGCCTATTTCAGGTGAGGGGATGGGGTATAGAGGGCTCAACGTGTTCAAAACCATGGGTAGCACACTCTCCTAGTGTAAGGTTCAAGGCTAAGCCTCTAGAAGGGAGGGAAAACCCCGGGTTCGTGAGCAATCTCTTTTTCTTCAGGAGCTTCCTCCCCTTCCTAGGCTTAGTCCTAGCTGCTCACTAGGTAAATATTACTTTTCATAGACGTTTATGTTATAAACACAAGAACACATACATTATATAAAAAACCAGAAGAAACAACGTAGGAATAAAGCTGATAGCAGTTCGTAACTTTAAAGGACTCCTCGAGCCAAAGTGGCATTAGAGCAGACTGTGCACCGCAATGTCAACCCCGACATTCTATTATATAGCTTGGCGCAAAATCGCTGCAGTAAACGCTGCGACTCGTCCGCGCCTTTGCCTTGTCGTTTCGTGTCGGGTACCCGTCGCAACGGGGAAAGCGTTTTTGAGGTTTTCTTTTGACTCAGGTCCCATATTGCACCTCTTTTCCATGCTTGAGCTGAATAGTCATACTAACTGGATCATAGAAAGTGTCTTTAATCCTAGGAAATCAATGTTATTGCTATAAACGTGCGCTTACTTGAGTTCCATTTGGCAAATCCGACTTTGGTTGAGCATGACGAGATCGCGTGTCGCGTCGAACATTGGCATATCGGAGAGATAAAGCTTCAGGTTCACAAAATCTCTCACTGTAGTGACATGAGGTGAGCAGAGGAAGATAATGTAGTTGCCATCGTTCACGGGCATCATTTGGCCTGAAACCCCAACTGACCGTCTCGGCACGATTATAGTGCGGCTGTCTCACCTTTCAGTGAAAGTGGTTGTACAAAGGCTTCACTGGAACCCTTCTCCACCTCGTTTCGTGAGCAGTGGTGTTTCAGTTGGAAGATGAACAGCGTGTTCAGATATGTCATAATGTTTTTATGTGTGAGCTGCTGAACGTCAACCTCAATGCAATTAGTGTAAAGATTAGGAATAGTACCTGGAATATCAGCCAGGTTGAATGATTTGCACCAGCTCACTAAGTTTCAGCATTTTCTTATCTGCCACTCCATACTCAACCAGCAGATGTCTGCCTGTAAACAAAACATTGCAAAAAATGACCTAACAATTTCATGACGGTCGTGCCATGTCTCATAGATGTAAATTTTACAGCAATACTGGATGGAATTTCTTCAATTTTTTATGTTCTCGCTGTTTTCTGCTTAAAGGAGGAATTCACGATAAGAACGAAGGTCAAAGAAGGGGAAAATTGCATAGTTGGGAGACAGGCGGACCTCCTGAGGGTGCTGACCGACGCGCAATTGGCAGCGAAAGATTTGACCTCGGCGATCTAGCATGGCTCACTCTTGGCGCGGTTGGCGGGGTACGCCCACCGACTATCTAATCACTCGCCGCAGGTCTATACGTGGCGAGTGATTAGATAGCAGAGAGAGCGTAGTGTTGAAGAGGGCACAGCGATGAGAGTCGCATCAATGCGCAAATCAACGGGCAAGGAAGGGTCCCATTTCTCGGGTTTCGGGCCGTTTCATGGTTTCTTCTTCATCCCTGCTCCACTGACCACCTCTACCCTTATTTCCAATGAGCTACTTTTCATCGTGAATTTGTTTCTAAAGCTCCACTCCAAGATCAGAGTAGTGGGGTACAGCTGTGGATAGATGAGTTATGGATGACGTCGATGAGACCCTGATCAAAAATTTTCCTTCGCTGAAAAAGAAGGGGCGGGGCCGGACGAGTTGTACGAACTTGCCTGCTCCACGGCTCAACTAACCCGCGCGTATTTGAATTAGCCGCTACGCCGTAATCCACGTTGCGTGTCATGGGTGTGCGCTACGTAACTCGTCCAAATGCTAAGATTAGTCGCCAAATGCTGACTTTGTAAGACCCTAGCGCCATTGTCGCGCACTTTCGAGCCGCGACAACGGCACATCTGTGCTACTCGTGGGCTACTCTATCCCATCCACAGAGTAGATTCTTCAACGCGCCCTCATCTAGGATCGATGCTTTAATTCCATAGAATGTAGAAGAAAACCTCTTAGAGGCATGCTGTCCGGTAAAGAAACACTGAGAGCCGCATGAGAAAAAAGCACATGTCCAAGAGATGAGAGAGCAAGCGAGTAAGCGAGAGGCAGACATCAACGCATCAGTCATAGAAGCTTGTACTAGGGGTGCTGCCATTGAGGGCGTTTCCAGGCCCATACCATGACTCCTAGTTTTCTTGTCGCACATGCTCGACTCGCGAATTTCGAGTAACCTCTTCCTGTTGGACTGAGCATCTTCATAGCGAAGTTACATGGTTAAAATCATCAAACCGCCACGTCTGAATTTGCTCGTTCAAATTTATTACAATTCATTTATTATTCGAGTTCAAAGCACAGGGGGAAGAAAAGAGTCACTCTCTCCACATTCAAAACGGAATTATTACACGTTGCGAAACCAAACCAAATGAGCCCAACTGAATATTGAAGAGCACATTCTAATCTATCAAAAAGTTACATAACAGCCTTCTACACCGACGACATCAGAAGATTTTCCCACGGAAACATGGTTCACGGTACGAGCTCAACGAGGTCGTCGAGGTACCATAGACCATTACCTGGTCAAAAGCGGTTTGCATAGTCACAGCTAGTGTCTCTAAGAAGCCATTCACCAGTTATCCGATTGAAGAATTATGTAGCAGCTTCAGAATGGAGCTTATGGAGCGTACGCCTCCTTGAGCTCGACGGTGATGGCAGATGACGTCATATTCTGAAGACGGTGGGGGCAGTGAAGGAGGGCCTGCTTCTGCTTATGGGGACACCTAAGGAATATTCTGCCGTAAAACATTCATCAAACAACGGCATCCTGTGCGACGAAAAATTGATGATGCCGTGGGCGACGTGACCCTTTTTTGGCTCCCTGGATATGTTTGGAAGAAGGGCGACCTTTTCACCATTAGGATTCCAAAACAATCCAGTGTCGGGTTTATGTTGACCAGGAAAGTGAATAAATAGGTAGCACTTACCGACATGTTCCACAACCATCTGTTTATTGAAACAAATATGATAGGGAAATATAGTAGAGAAATCGTGCAGAGTGACGGCGAGAGGAATGCTCTGAAATTCAAACTGTGAGTATATACGGGAGTTTAGTCAAAACGGAGAGTGCTAGAATGTCTATGACAACAAAAATCAAGGAACTGAAGCCCTTGCCATATCCATTATACAAAACTAACCATAAGTTGACAAATTCCACATTGCGCCACGCTCTCTACTTCCACTCAGGATCAAGGAAAGCGACTGGGCTCACACTGTGCCTTGCGTGGATCGAACGATTTAGGAAGCGCTTTTATTTTTTTAAAGATCTTTCCAGTTAATCAGCCTCCGAGGTATGGAAGGCCTAGTTGATCGACTCGTCTCGTCGAGAGGAGTCGAGTCGATCAACTATAAGCTTCCCTTCTTGCATTTCAAAACAAATTTAATTTTTCAATTCCAAAGTGCTTAGGGCCACTCATTAGAGAGCGTCGTTCGCTATATTTATAACTACAGGCGAGCAGCTTCCATTTTTTGCAATCGCTTGGCTGCCAAGGAAGCGATGTGTGGTCGCTGAAGCAAGCACCGTCTTACTCGTCGCTCATCCATGGTCGAAAATGAAAGGGCAATCAAAGGGGTACTATTTTGCTTATTTTTGACGGATTTCTTTGCTTTTTTCGCCATTGGCGTACTATTGAGACCCTCACGTCCCCTCTAAACCCCTTGAGATCTATCGTAATCGCTTCCTTTAAGCTAGTCGTAGGGACTTATCCTATATTATTAGGTGGCCCGGAGCAGCAGTAGAAAGAGCTAGAATAGAGAACAAAAAGTTCCTGGAAACCAGAATGGAGGTCGAATGCATGGCGCATTCGAAAATAAGAGTTTGAGTGGTGCCAGGCTGTTTGTCCTTTTTATCCGTGACGGTTAACCAAAGAAGAAAGAAAGGAAGATCAAGTGTGGCTAATTGAAAGCCATGGAATCAATCGGGTGACCACAGACATCCGGAGAGATGGGAAACAAGAAGTATTAAAAAATGCCCATTTGTTTGCATACACAAGTCTGAAGGAAGGAAAAGCATCACTCACTTGTTCCGCTTCCTCTGCATCACCATGAGAACGAGTATCTCGCTTAAATTTGTAGGCAAAACGTTTTCCAGCCCGATGATCTTCATCGGGTTCGAGTGAGAACACCACGTGCTCAACCATGCCGCTTTTCCGTCTTTCTTGAGATCGTTCGATCACAGTAAGCTTTACGTCCATCTCGAATAGCAGCCGAGATACTTGGCGAACAAGACCTACAAACAAGACAACAAGACCCAGCTTATTGGGTGACCTTACGTTAAAAATGGTCACCAAGCTCTATTATCGAGCTCACCTTTAACTATCGGAAAAAGACCCTGTCTGTGAGAAAAGTAATGCAGGCGCAGAAATCCTTCGCCAGTTGCCTCGCATTGGAATGTCGGCCCTCTCATTTCGGATTTGAAGGCGATCTGATCAATGAAGTAATGCATTGAGTTGAGATTGTCCAAGAATTCCTGAAATAAAGCTTACGAATTTGTTTTGTACGTTTCTTCTTGAGAGTGCAGCAACGTTCGAGATTCATTAAGTAATCAGCTCACGACATCTTGTGCGCTAAGTAATAGTATCGATTTAAGAGGCATAAAATGTAAACCACCCAAAAGAGATAGGTCTAGAGTAACAGATTTCTGGCGCAATCGCAAGATACAGGGACATTGTGGTGGCGATGAGTTCAGAACCACGTAAAGCATCTTTTTCTTATTAAAGTCGTG